ATTTTTTTATTACCATTTTCCAAGGATGACTCCTTCACGCGACGACAAATTATAGCAAGGGCGCATCTGTTTTTTCTGATGATGTACCGATGAAAATTACGTCTAAATCTACAATAAGAACTTCTAAGTAATCTCGCTTCGCCTCCAGATTACAGTGACTTATGAATTTCCCACTTCTAAATTATCATATGAAGTAAAGGATTCAACGAGAACAAATTTGTATAAATTATTGTGCTGGAAAATTATATTTGTGTAAATTACACCAATTAAACTAATTGTACATTGCAAATAGGCTTTTAAACAAACTTAATTTTTGTGTTGATGATCAATAATCCAACGAATGCCTGAAATTGGTACAATTTATAGTAATCTGGAATTTCGGTCAATTTCGCATTTACTTAGCTCAACGAGGACAGCCAATTGGGCTGTCATGTTAATTGCTTTATACTTTTGGGGTTTATAAATATTTTTACTCATTATGCCTCCCTAATTTTTTTCCTTTTTTATTTTTAATTAAATTTTTTTACTTGCTAGGATTCATATTCGAAGAGCTCTTCCTGGTTCCAGTTCCTTTTTTTGATTTCCTATTTACACAATTTATTCTTCGAAACTTCTTTTATAAATCAAATTGTCACTGTCTTACAGAAATTGTTTCTATTTTGAATATATGAGATTCAAACTTTTAAGAGGGCTATCACATGTTGAGTTTTCTACATAGCTTTCTTGGGAAAACTTGTCATTTAGAAAATGAGTCAATATCGAACATTACTTTTTACGACCAATATCAGTTGATTCCCATAGCAGTTCTTTTTAACTATGAGACAACTGTAAGATCATCTGGCTCTCTTTCACATCCTAATCAAGTGAACGGTTTCATCACATTAACTTCACATGGTCCCTAAGTCATATTTAACCTCAATGAGTCTGTGGAATCGTTGCTTTCTTGATTTGCCGTCAGTCTCATTAGACCCTTATAGAATGCAATATTTGGGCTTAGCTAACGTTTCACTCACTGTATTTAGCTATTTAGCGGTAAAGATTGACATGCTTCTAGGCGCTCTCTAAACTACTTCAGTTTTCTTAGCGTATTCTTAGACTCTTTTTCGGTTTTCCCCCTTGAAAAAAAATTTCTTTTGGAACCAGTTGTGTTGGTAGCCTATATTTGTGTTAGTTACCATGATTAAACTTATGGAGTAATATAAGTAGAAATCAGAATAGCCCTTAATTAAACTATATAATTAATAAATCACACGCTTGCGCTAAATTCCTTATACCTCAAAAATAACATTCTATTCTTAAACTTTTTCTTGTATTCATGAGTTTAGGACATTCAAAATGATCCTCGGTTTGCAATCGTCAATGAGCCTTTTAAAACGGAATGTCAGAAAGCCAACTATCTGGAACTGAAAAACCGATTTCTCGCGCGACGTTTTAAATTACTTGAACAGGCACTGGTGATCGAAGAACAATTACGTCGAGCGGCTCACCTTAACTTAGCATGTGATCCAACGGATAATATACAAAATCTTAATCGGCGCTTCATTGAGCTCGAATGTCTGGCCAATAGCCAGCAGGGTCTTTTTGACGAAGCTTTGACGGGAAATAAGATTCTAGTGCCTGTTCTCCACAAAGGTAATTATTTTTCAGTTATCACATCCTTTGCCAACACTTAGCTATGGCATATTCAAATAAAAATTTGACTAGGTCCTGCTCGCATATCATTTAATTACATTATATATTATTCACTTAAAAGGCATACAATTCTTTTTTCGTCCCTACTTAAATTATATTGAATGTAAGCCTTTGACCTGTTCACGAAGCAATATCTTTTCTATAATAGGCCTGACCTCGTTTTTTTAATTTGATCGTCTTGTCAGGATGAGCTTATTGTACATACTTTGTCCGAAGTCCTTTCCCATTGTAATGGTAATCCCAAGCGTTGAATCATGGATTTAATATAGCTGTCACACTGGCTGAATGAAAATGTGAAAGTAGTAAAGTTCTAAGCTTTCCTTACCATGCTTCCAGTGACAAATTAGTCATACGAATATCTAGCAAGTTAAAATTTAGCATTACCTTTTCCATTAAACATGAGAAAATGTTGTGCAAAAGGTGTTCCTAAAAAAACCCAAGCACTCTCACAAGTTATGCCATTTTTCAGGACTGAACATGTCTTCAAGATCTTGTTCCACCTTATGTTTGCGAGAACTATCAAATGATAGGTGAACACAAATATGCATCTGGGTTCCTTGATCAGAAGTGGCTGAAACTAGTCACGAGAAAGGATGGTCTCAAATGCATCGGCTTGCTTTTTGTCTATGTCTGGCATTACATCAAAGAATAGCACGAAACTCGAAGTGAAGGCTCAAAGTAATTAGGACAGTAATTGATGTCCGTCATATGATGGACGAAAGCTTAGCACGTTTTCACCGGAATCGAAGGAGATTGCCTCGAAAACAGCGTCAGCATGAATCT